TGCTGACCAAGCAGGAGCCAGCATGGCCATCATTCTTTTTTCCAAATGATGCACAGAGGAGTAGGATGTGCTAGCTCTGGCGTGGGTAGAGCTGGAGGAAAATTGAGACATGCAAGGCCCAGCTCTTGACCGTTAATGGCCTTAAAGCTCTGTTGGTTGGCCACATGGTGTGCTGCATGAGCAGTGACCGAAGACTTGGATGGGTGGAGAAAAATCAAAAAATCACAAAATGTCGAGTTACATTTCCCTCTGTAAAACTAAGTGATTTTTAAAAAAATATTTTTGAAATGTTAAAAAGAAAAATCACCATGTGATGCCATTAACTGGTTTCAAAAAAAGTATTTGGTATTATACATTGTTTTCACCAAGGTCAATATATGTACTTGCAACAGCAAAATTGCACATATAGATAACGGCTGATACTGAGGTCATTAGTCCACCCTAAAATTTTAATAAAGAGAGTTTGAAGCTAGCACATGCTCATGGTGCCTCTTTTTTGTGTGATATTTTTCCTTTATATATTAAAGGGAGACAGATATTTATATATAATTTGTTTTTAATATATCAAACTAAATTTAAAAGGATCAGTGCTCTTAAAACCAAACACAAAATGTAGAATATATGTAAATGTGGCAGCACACCTAAAATAGTAGGGCTCCCTCTAAACCCCACAAGTAAGTAAACACTAAAGAGGTTGCACCAAAACAGAATAAATATAGTTACAAATATATAAAAAATCCAATATATAAAATATTCAATATAAAAAATAATAATAAAAGTCCAATAAAAGCCCCAATAAAACATGCCAGAAGATATAGCCTCAAATATGCCCAGAATGATTATTCTAAAACAGTGTCAGATCAAGGTATTCATCCTCATGTAAAAACAAAAGGAGAAACTAATAGTACGATTTATCCCAGAGTTAGATAATACCAGTATAAAAAGTCCAATATAGTCCTACTCACGTTTTTAAGAGCTTATAACCAGATCTAGTATGAATAGCATGCAGTGGTGCAATTCCCACTTAGGGATTCGTGATGATATATTGTTAGGCAGATGTTTCGGCAATATGTAGACCATAAAAGAAATTTAAAAGAGACAACAATAGTGCTCACTGTATAAAAATGCCAGGAGAATGAAATAATAAATGGTTACTCACATTTAGTAGAGCAGACAAACTGCTCACTGTATAGGACATAAGTGTTATAATCCCCACCTTGGATTCTTTAGCATTAGTCCTCACTGAAACATAAAATGGATGCCAGGTAGAAAATAAAAGAACAAATAAAAAAGTAAAATGGAAGACTCACAAATGGAAGTAGCCAAAATACCTTTATTAAAACAATATAAAATATCCACTACTTGAAAATTGATATATTGACCCTTTCTAAACTAACCATAATCACAAATCAATACAGTTGCCTCAATGTCTGTACAGACACTGTTTTATTTATCTTTACACACCTCGCCTAATTTCAGAAACAGTTAAAGCCATGGAAAACAAATCCATGCAATACAATGGGCTTAAGATACCTCTCAGATAAATCAATTGAAATAAATCTTAACTTTGTGAATCTAAGAGGTAACTTATTTCTCCTCTCCTTTCCTTCCCCAACATTGCACCTAGAAAAGAGAAGGATAAGGATAAAAAATAAAGTAAGCAAACTAGTATTTACTATTCTCCTAAATCTACAACTCAAGACACTAAAAGAAGATCACAGATCAATTAAGCAAATGTTGCTAATACAAATAAGGATCATTAGACGTCCAGCACTTCAGATGAAGAATCAATAGCAAATTACTCCCCAATTTCACATCAATGCATCTCTGATATGCTGGATATTTTATATAAGCAAATAAAACATGATTTTGAATAACATTTTGAAGATCTGAAAAAAATAGTTCCTCAGCTTTCTTCTGCACCTACCCCCAAGTGGCCATCCTAGTCAAAATTCAAACCGATTTTACCTTAATACAAACAGAAAATCCTTGAATGGATAAGATAATTAAATACCTAGAGAATTAGGTTAGAGGCCTTGAAGATAGTTTAAAAGAAAGTATCTAAGAATCCAAGGTATACATTAATTAATTACTCAAGGTCCATGCTTACCGATTTTTTTAAAACTTTGTCAGCTCTACCAGTATTTGGAATGCTCCCCTTTGAGAGATTCCATCGAGCTCCAAGCTCTAAAGTTACAGACAAGCAACTCCCAAGACATATTTTAATGTTTTGCAAATTCTTATATTAAAGATACTGTCTTACAAGGAGCTAGGAAGAAAAAAAACTACATTTGGAGACAACAATAAGGACAAAAAGATATGTCAATATATGTAATTTGCTACAAGATCAGCAAGGCTAAAATTATTTGACAAAAATCGAATTATGAGGTCCAATGGCATACCCTATAAATGGACATTCCCTATAGGTCTCCTAAATTCCCACAATAGAGGTTCCCATTCCTTTTCTGATCCCAAAGAGCTCAAAGAAAAACTTGCAAGGCAAGGCTGAAATTATTTGACCAAACTCAAATTGTGAGGTCCAATGGCATACCCTATAAATGGACATTCCCTATAGTGTGGGGATATTTATGGGATGATAATAGTAAACAGTGAGAATTGCCCACTAATTCAATTCTCAGATCCCAAAGATCGTTATCGTGTAATTTGAAAAGTATTTCATATAAATAAAATCACAATTTGTTATAAAAATAGATTTATTTTTATTGTAACAAATTAACTAATAATAATATGTAACATGCGTGACAATAATCAGTGAATATCCAGTATCAAATGATATGCAATACAATGGAATGGGTATACACGTTTCAATGGCTAAACAGCATTTTCTGTCAAGACTTACACGATTTATGAGGTATCCTTACAGACACAGAAAGCGAAGCTTTTCACAGCGAAGGGCCATAAAACCCTGGCTAACAGTTAGATCAACTGAATAACCCTTTCAATGCTGGCTAGATCCTCCTAGGTAATTAAGATCTATTCTTATGTAATTTTAAATAAAATAACATTTGAACCAGCTCATTAGTCATTTCCTGGAACCATCAAATAAGAATAATCTACCAGATTTTTACAAAAGCAGAATTTAATTTGTCTAAAAGATATCTTATCTTATATTAGAGCAAATCAATACACCTGGATAAAAATAGCGGCATGCTAACACGTGATAATATCACATTAATATATAATTATTCTTAATTCCACCTGAAGAATGGAATGTTTATAACTATATATTCTTTAGTTAACCAAGATTTCTTAATATGGAAATCTGACCGTGATTTATCCAGTCATATATCATGCTATTAGTAAATTTTAATTAATTTAATTTAATTAAATGAAACCAGTATAATTACCAGTTGAGTAGATATTTCCTCAGATTGGTAGGTAGTCTCAGGAACTTATTTGAATGTCTCTCTGCATGGATGTGTATAGGAATTTCTGAGATTCCTAGAGTGTATATCTGTCATAGGCCTCTCTGCATTGCTCCCGACTGCTCACTTCTTTGCTTCCTTTGTATACCCATGTATTCCTCGCCTCCCTTTCTCTTCTTCTTTCTCTTCCCTTTGTCTTAACTTTTTAAAGGGAAAATTCACTAGTTGATAGACAAATAGGAATACTGGAGGTGTGGTTACCTTCCAGATAGCAATTTAGTATTTGGTCTATAGAAGGCAGTCTTGTCCCACTAAACATACCTATCCAGGAAAGAGTTAACTTTTCTTGGTGGCTATTTTGACGTCATTTTGCTTTATCTTTATAGTTGCCATAATTTACGTTTTCTTTCACTTGAAAGGGTTTTCTCTTAGTTTTGTCCAGACTTAGTGTCCGCAGTTCCTGCTATAATTTCTAATATGACAGTTCGTAAACTAAGCTTCACCTTAAACTACAATGGGAGGTTATACAATATAAAAATTAAAATTAAATTATTTAATCTTCTCTGTCACAAATGTCTGGGTTTAGAATTGATTATATTCCATTAGCATTTAGACAGTCTGTCCAACCCCCATTCTCCTTATCACTTGGTTTGTATATACTATGCTTTCCTTTAGCTCTGGGAAAGTGGTTAGTTTTACAGATAGAAATCTTGTGTCTTTTGTTAGCTTGAAAATGACAAAATGGAGTCTGCTCTGTTCAAAAGTGACTCATCATATACACTTTTAATTTCTATCATAGCACAAGATGTCTGCCAATATAAATACCCTGACATAACCCCCCTTTAGTGCATTTCATAGCCAAAAATTTATTTAGCTTATGAATAAGCACTATAGAAGTTACCAGACATATTGTGCAATCACATCATTTCTAACATAGGCCCGGGCGTGGAATGAACATTTTTGTATATATTTGTACCTGTAAGAGTTTTTATTATAAAGTTCAAAGACTCTTCATACTACTCACCTTCAAGTTGTAAGGTCTTGTAATTTTAATTTCTATTTATGTTTTTTAATTTGTTACATTTTTTGTGCACTTTATAATAAAGCACTTTGGAAAATATTACCAGTTCCTGAGAGGAATATTTGATCACCAGCCATACAAAGAAGGCAGTGGGAACCTCATATCCCACAATACTGGAAAATTGAGCCATACTTTGAGGCTCTGCACTTGTGAGTGATACTCCTCCTATTTCTATAATAACTTCTTTATATAACAGACACTATCATATGCCTTTATTTGTTCTGTTTTTTAGCAATACGGAATATTTATTATAATAAGAAGACACTCCACCTTATATTGTATGTATTTGTGTCTAATTGTGAGGTGACAGGGACTCTCACTAAGGTGTTTTAGAGTACTTTTATTATTGTGTGTCTCACTACAATTCTATTATATAAATTTGTTGTAACAACTGTTTCTTGCACAATAGTTAACACGTCTTGGAGAAGTGTCCTTTGCTGGTTTATCACCTGATGAATATCATTAATGTGTTGCTTTAGCGCATAGATTTACATATCCAGCTTTTGGACAGTAATAGAGTTGGCTGCAGACTTTCAAGTTGCGACAACTGCACCGACAGTGGCACAAACTAATGCAACAATTATAGCGGTGAGGAACCTTTTGGGTCGGTTGCTCATCGGAATAGAACTGGATACAAATGGTTTCCGGGCTTGCTCCAAGATGTTTCGCACACGGTCCTGTGCTCTTTGGAGGTGCATCTGGTACCAAGTCTGTAACTCAGGAAGCTGCATCGATGAAATGTTGTATGCCTTCTCGATGGAAATCTTGGGGTCCAAGCTGACGAACACATGTCGGGTCAGGATCCTCTTCTCTGTCAAGATGAACCTTGGTGTCTCTTGAATCAGGATGCCGGAGGATGGTCCCATCTCTGCGATCGGGTCGGTCCGTAGCTCTCGGCACAGGAGCAGTACGATCCAGAAACATGCCACATCCTTCTTGGACATCTTTCGACAGTCACGGATCAGGAGCTCGTTTCAGACTTATCTACTAATGATTCAAGGTTTGTTAAGCATACAAACTTATAACAGTGTGACATCACTTGGCCTAGGAAAACACATTATTATGATTCATCAACATATATATTCTCTCTAATTCTATTTTTATAACTTCATCCCTCACTACATTTATTACTGACTCTTCAGTAATTTGCCTATAGCAGCTAAATAAGCTAGTAACCTGCTTAGAAAATGTAGTTATTGGATGGCAAGGAAATGGTTAATGACATGAACGTACATGAGATCATGGCACATCACAACAATTCACATCATACGATACCACGTGAATCAAGCATTCATCCAGGTTAGTCGTTCACCCTTCTGCATCGGAATCCACACCTATAATCCTTAATTGAGATTTAGGATGACAAGCATGCAACTGGTTAATGTGAACCCACTTTTCAATAAAATCACCATCCTTAGGAATTTTTATCTTGTACGATACTGGGGAAATGTTGTCAATGATGACATATGGCCCTTTCCAAGAAGGTAAAAAATTATTTTCCTTGACTTGATTTCGTGCAAAGTTATACAGATAGACTTGATCTGTTACCTCATATTCCTTTTTCGTGGTTTTTAGATCGTAATAGGTCTTAACCCCTGTCGCTGCTTTTTCTAGATTCTTTTGGGCAAAAGCAAACGCATGCTGTAAATGCTTGCACAAATCTTCGATATATTGATGCGTAGTGGCAGCATTGATCAAGTTATGATCCGAAGTACGATATAGTAAATGCTGTGGTAAAACCATCTTTCTTCCTGTCATCAATTCAAAAGGTGACAATTTGGTAACAGTGCTAGGTGTAGCTCTAATCGCCATTAAAACTAGGGGCAATTTAATGTCCCAGTCTTTACCAGACTCCTTAACATATTTCTTCAGAATATTAACGATAGACTGGTTATATCGCTCTACCCCCCCGCTAGACGCAGCGCGGTATGCAATAAGTAGCTTTCGTTTAACACCTAGAATGTTCCACATTTTAGCCATTACTTCACTGGTAAAATGACTACCTCTGTCTGACTCAATTCTTTGAGGCAGACCGAACCTGGAAAAGACATGGTTAATTAACAAAGTGGCACACACGGTACTCGTGTTCTCTTTACAAGGCAAACACTCTATCCACTTTGTGTACATACATGTAACGGTTAACATGTATTTGTTACCTCTTGAAGATCTTGTTACAGGTCCTATAAAGTCAATTTGAATATCAGACCAGGGTAATGACACCCCCCTCTTCTGAAGTGGTGCACGATGGGTTGCACCATGGGGTTGATATTGCGGACAAATCAAGCATCCCTGACAGTATGTCTTAACATCTCTTAACATGTGTGGCCAATATGCATAATCACGCAATATCTCATATGTGATCTTATCACCACGATGCCCAGATGTAGGTGCATCATGTGCGTGTTGGAGCATTAACCCTCTGTATACAGTTGGGACTACCCATTGTTGAATACCATGTTTAGAAATTCTGACCAGCAACCCATCCATGATACTAAATTGGACTTTATATCTCATCAAGATTCGTAAATCTTCATTATGTTTGCAATCCTCATCTGCAATGGGATTGGTAGTAGGGTCTTCTATATGTCTATAGAATATGCCTATGACGGGATCATTCTTTTGACTGGTAATTAGGTCCTCACTAGGAGCTTCTTGACTCCATTGCACAACATTTAAGTCGGCATTATCTCTAGCCTGTCGTCTAGTTATGGCTTCAACATGAATTGAACCCATAAGATCATCAATGTTTAGGGTTTCACCATTGATGGCAGCTTGTTTTGCCAGTGAATCGGCTAAGTCATTACCATCCTTGTCAATACCTTCTATTTTAGAATGGCCTTTGGTTTTCTTCCAATATATGGTTAAACCATTTTCCTTAACCAGTTCATCGATTTTACAAAACAATTTCCCATGTTTAACAGGTTTGTTATTGCTTTTCAGCATTTGGTTACATTTCCAGCTAGGCAGATATTCGACAAAACTGTTGCGAACATAGTTGGAATCAGTTATGATAACAAATTCCTTGATACCATATTCTATTGCCATTTGAATGGTCTTATATACTGCACAGAGTTCGGCTATCTGACTGCTTTTGGAACCAATATTGTATCCTATAGATACATTGGGATAATCACCTATCCAGGCGATTCCGATACCTGCAACTAACTTCCGTTCAGCACCAACGACGTGATGATATGAACAACCATCAATGTATACCCACGGTAGTGGTCGACAGTATTTCTCGTCATAAACTTTATAAGGGGATAGCAATTGCTCTTCTAGGAAGTCATCTCCGGTGTAATTATCATCCAGAGATGGAGCAGTACAGTCATGTAATTCTGCTAAACCTTGGGCAACTGGGCTTCTCTTATTATGTTTATAACCGGACTTCTAACGGCCATCACTGTAAGGATAGAGTCCATGCAGTAATCCGACTGTTAGAGAGATTACCATCTCTAATTCTTTCACTCTGCAGATACTGTAGAGGTTGGTGAGCTGTTTCTACAATTATTTTCTCAGCTTGGATATAGCTACGAAAATTTTGTAGTGCCCAGACAGTAGACAATAACGCCTTCTCACACGTGTTGAATTTAACTTCAACAGGCGACAAAGTCTTGCTAGCATATGCAATAACTTTGTTTAAACTGTCCTGCTTCTGATACAGAACAGCACTGATGCTTAAATCGGTATAACCTGTCTCCAGATAGAAGGGTTTACCCCCCCTCTGGGTATGCTAAACAGGGTGCCTGAGTGAGCTTCCTCCTCAGTTCACTTACCGCTTGGTCCTGAGGCTCCCCCCAGTTCCAGGTAGTTTCCTTTTTAAGCAGGTGTAAGAGTGGTTTAGATATTTCTGCATAGTTATCTATAAACTTACGGAGTAGTTAGTCATACCAAGGAACGATCTTAATTCCCTGATGTTTGAAGATGTTTTAGCCTTAATTACAGCTTCAACCTTCTTCCTCTGGGGATTTAATCCTTCAGAAGTTACCTCATGTCCGAGGAAATTGACATGGGTGCGACACCATTGCGCCTTTTGTAAGGACAGTTTAATCCCTGCCTCTCTTAACTAAGTGAGAACATGTCTGATATCTATGATATGCTTATCAAAGGAAGTGCTTTTCAGCAAGACATCGTCGACATATGATAACGTTCCCTTCTCGAGTGCATCAGGCATAGCTTTATGCATGAACACAGCGAATTCATGACCAGAGTTTATGTAACCGAAGGGCATACGGGTCCAGGTATACTGCTGCTTTCCAAATGTGAAGGCCAATTTGTATTGGTCTTCATTATGGACTGGTACAGTCCAATATCCCTGCGCACAGTCAATGGCAGTGAATATTTTGGATCCCTGCATTTGTACCAAACATTGGTCTATATATGGCGTTGGCCAACCAGACATATAGACATTATTTAGCTGTCGTAAGTCAGCGCATAAACGCCATTGTCCATTAGGTTTCAGAATCCCCAAGATCGGATTATTATACGAACTGTGCACTGGACGTATAATGCCCCTTTCCTTTAAATTCTGAATGATGTCTTGTAGACCATCATATGACGCTAATGGGAGTCTATATTGTTTGATAAATACAGGTGGTAAATTTGGATCAGTCTGTATTCTGGCTACGTGGAGGTTAGTTAACCCACAGTCGTAGGAATCTTTGGCAAAAATATCTTGGAATTCCAAAAGGATTTCCTTTAGCTGTTGCCGCTCAGCATCGTTGGAGCAACCGTCAGCTAAAGATATTTGCTCTTCTAGCCTTTCCTGAAATCCTGGAAAGATTTCAGGCTGGCCTATCTCATAAGCTTCTTCAAGCCTAGAAGTTAGGTCAGTTCGGTGTTGACTTACCTTTTCTCTTTGGTCGTGATACTCTCGTGATTCCTGCTCATTGAGCGGATGATCGAAGGTGATAGATGCTTCTTCGATTTTACACGAGCCTTCTTCGACGTTGAATGGATATACAGATAGGATAGCGAATAATCCTTCTGGGGAGGAATGGAATATTTGATCGACAATTTCGTCCTCGGCTAAGTATTCTTCAGGGATGAGGCCTATAATTTGGTTTTGGAAACCAAATGTATAGTACTCAGCATCCAATGCTAGACCTAACAATGTTCCTTTTGGTAAAGTAACGCTATTGGGTGTAACATTGTTGACCGTTATATAGGTGGGATTCTTACCAATACTTACCATTGGTGTATGTGTTACCACCATCCCTAATTGTTGTATCCTGTTGGATAAACAGATTAGGGCATCAGAGTTTTCCAATCTCTGACCCTCCTTGACCTGTAGGGGTAAAAGAAAATTACTTGTCCCTTGGGGAATGGTTATGTCATCAGGTACTTGGATACTTACCGCATATGGGAGTATTTGTCCTGATTTCAGAGTGTTTTCCTCGTGTAGGTAACCACAAGGATTACCTTTTAACCTTGTCCACAAGTTGGAATTAATCAGGTCAAGGTGTATGGTAAAGCGATGTATGACATCATTGCCGATGTAAATCTGATAGCGAGGTTCGTTTATAACTAAGAATAAATGTTTAACTGTCTTATTTCCGATGGAAATAGATAGTAAACATTTTGCTATCACATTGTGACTCTCTGATTCGCCATCCAGATTCTGGATCCACCTGTCATGTGGGAAGCGCACCTGATCATTTTAGGATTAGCGATCTGCTTTAACAGACTTCTGCTAATATAGCTGTTCTCACTCTGTAAGTCCAGCTTTGCATTCCTACTTCTTCCTAAGTCATGTATCTGAATAGGGAAGAATAAGTTGTTATTAACCCTTTCAATTCTGGCAAGGAATTGAGCATGACCTGCCAGATCTACAGATTCAACATTGTTAAACATTGTTGAAATTGTTAAAACATCACCTTCCAGAGAGACATTCTGGATCCTCTCTGGAGCAACTCTTACGGAATGCTCATCTACAGGTGTGATTGCATCATTCACCTGCAGGAGAGTCACGTTGGGTGACTGACTATTCCTAAAATGTACCTCAATCGAATCAGGTCTTTCTTCTATGACATGGCAATTACGATCAGATTGTATATGTGATTTCTCATAGGTTATAGGAACCTTAGCTTGTGACCATACAATTCCATTTACACAGTCAATAATTGTGTTAAGTCTTCTGAGTATGTCTATACCCAGAATCAGTCGGTCATAGGGGAGATTTACCACTATCACCGGATGTCTAAAGGTTTTGTTACCTATTCTAAACTTTAACCAGGTATTGCCAATAACATGAAGGGCATTTCCTCCTACACTCAACAGAGCATTGGGGAAGTCTGTTAGCTTCGGCTTATCCGTTGCTAAGTCCATTACCTGCTGGAAGTAGGTATTGGATAAGATAGTGGCTTGTGAACCAGTATCTATTAACCCTTTGAAAGGCTGGGGTAGCGAATCCTGTATTTCTACAGACATGTAGTACCTTCCTTCATTTTCACATAAGAATTTAGAATGTGTCAACATATTACTTGTTTTCCATACATTACCGGTCACAGCAGTAGTTTCTACCTGTACTGAGGAATGCTCAGTCTTACCCACAGGCCCATCCTTTTTAGGAATATCTTGAACTGTCAAGCGGGAACTAGTGGTCGGCATCTCATCGGTTAACCCTTTCAGGTCTGGATCCTGGAAACTAGTGGCTGCTGGGGCTATTTTAGCCTTTGGCTGAAATGAAAAAACAGAGGAACACGTTGCGCCTCCTTCACCCGAAAGTGAAGGCAATAGGTTTTCTTACACAACTATTGTTTATTTGACTGTTAGTACCTGGAAAGGAAACAGGGTTAGGCATTACATCTACTGATAACCTAGCCTGTTTAGTCACAGAAGCTATATTTGCTGTGGCACTTGTTGTTGTTGCTGCAATTGGAGCTATCCCTAAAAAAGGATTTCTGGCAAAGACTTGGTTAATCTGTGTCATTTCCTCCATTAATTTGCCCATCTGGTCTGTCAATTGACCAACCTGACGACGCAAATTATTTCCCCCATTGCCATTTTGTCTTTGCCCATTAGAATTTAGCTGGGATGGCTGAGACTGTTGGGAGTTACTGGAAGCAGATTGGTTATTTCTGTTTCCATATCTCCTATTTCCCTGAGGATTCCTTCTCCATTGGTAATTGCCTTGGTTCTTATTAACCCAGGGGCGTTTATTCCCACTGGCATTGGATTTTTCAGAGTTACTATCAGAGGAATTTACAGAATTGCTTCCGGCGTTTTCCTGTTTCTGAGGTTTTGGAGTTTTTAAAACCTCAGAATAGGTCCTCTTTTTCTGTTGGGTTTCTAAACCTAACTGAATTTTAGTCTCTGACACCATTTTATCACCAGGTTTCTTAACCTTTGGCTGATTTTCGTCATGTGCATGGTGTATAGTATACAATTTCATGCACTGACTGACTAGCCATTCTAATGGTAACTTACAATCAT